CGGGGGGCATCACACTACCGGATTTCAAACTATACTACAAGGCTACAGTAATCAAAACAGCATGGTACTGGTACCAAAAGAGAGATATAGACCAATGGAACAAAACAGAGGCACCGGAGGCAACACAACATACATACAACTATACAATCTTTGATAAACCTGACAAAAACAAGCAATGGGGCAAGGATTCCATGTTTAACAAATGGTGTTGGGAAAACTGGCTAGCCATGTGCAGAAAGCAGAAACTGGACCCCTTCCTGACACCTTACACTAAAATTAACTCCAGATGGATTAAAGACTTAAACATAAGACCTGGCACCATAAAAACCCTAGAAGGAAATCTAGGCAAAACTATCCAGGACATAGGAGTAGGCAAGGACTTCATGAACAAAACACCAAGAGCATTGGCAACAAAAGCCAAAATAGACAAATGGGACCTAATGAAACTCCACAGCTTCTGCACGGCAAAAGAAACAGTCACTAGAGTGGATCGGCAACCAACAGAATGGGAAAAAATTTTCGCAGTCTACCCATCTGACAAAGGGCTGATATCCAGAATTTACAAACAACTCAAGCAGATTTACAGGAAAAAAACAAACAAGCCCATTCAAAAGTGGGCAAAGGATATGAACAGATACTTTACGAAAGAAGACATATATGAGGCCAACAATCATATGAAAAAATGCTCATCGTCACTGGTCGTCAGAGAGATGCAAATCAAAACCACATTGAGATACCATCTCACGCCAGTTAGAATGGCGATCATTAAAAAATCTGGAGACAACAGATGCTGGAGAGGATGTGGAGAAAAAGGAACACTTTTACACTGTTGGTGGGAGTGTAAATTAGTTCAACCATTGTGGAAGACAGTGTGGCGATTCCTCAAGGCCTTAGAAATAGAAATTCCATTTGACCCAGCAATCCCATTACTGGGTATATATCCAAAAGACTATAAATCGTTCTACTATAAGGACACATGTACACGAATGTTCATTGCAGCACTGTTTACAATAGCAAAGACCTGGAATCAGCCCAAATGCCCATTGATGATAGACTGGATTGGAAAAATGTGGCACATATACACCATGGAATATTATGCAGCAATCAGAAATGATGAGTTTGTGTCGTTTGTAGGGACATGGATGAATCTGGAAAACATCATCCTCAGCAAACTGACACAAGAACAGAAAATGAAACACCGCATATTCTCACTCATAGGTGGGTGATGAAGAATGAGAACACATGGACACAGAAAGGGGAGTACTAAACACTGGGGTCTATTGGGGGGAAAAGGGGAGGGCCAGTGGGAGGGGGAGGTGGGGAGGGATAGCCTGGGGAGAAATGCCAAATGTGGGTGAAGGGGAGAAGAAAAGCAAAGCACACTGCCATGTGTGTACCTACGCAACTGTCTTGCATGCTCTGCTCATGTACCCCAAAACCTATAATCCAATAAAAAATTAAAAAAAAAAAAAAAAAAAAAAAAAAAAAAAAAAAAAAAAAAAAAAAGAATTATTTTCCAGGTTAAAAAAAAAAAAAAAAAAAAAAAAAAGCTTACTGCAGCCTTGATCTCCTGGGCTCAAGTGATCCTCCTGCTTCAGCCTTCTGAGTAGCTACTTCAGGCATCCTCCACCATGTCCAGCTAATTGTTTTATTTTTTGTAGAGATAGGTCTTGCCCAGACTGGTCTGAAACTCCTTGCCCAAGCAATCCTCCCACCTCAGCCTCTCCAAGTACTGGGATTACAGGCATGAGCCACTGTGTTCAACTAAGAAATACTAAATCTCTGATCTCTTTCTCAAACCTAAAAGCAGTATAATATACACAGTGTATATTTTGGAAGTTTTTAAAGTATGTTTTTAAAAATTAAGTTTTATGTTAAGGAAAACACATTAATATAGTAAACTTACATCTACATAACATGGTTGGGAAATGGGCTTACATTGACTAACAAAATATTTTTGTGTGCCATGTATTATATATAATGCAGTGGAGATGTCTTTTCTTCACTCCTTCCAAGTTTAAGGAGCGCAATTAGGGTAATTCCCAGCCTCTCTCTAACCCTTTAACTCACTCTAACCATAGGAAGTAGATTATTGTTATGGACTGAATGTTTGTGCCCCCCTAGATTCTTCTGTTAAAGCCCTAACTCCTGGTGTGGCTGTATTTGGAGATGGGGCCTCTAAAGAAAGTAATTAAGTTAAATGAAGTGGGTGTCAGATATGGTAGAATTAGTGTCCTTATAAGAAGAGACACTAGACACTTTGGGAGGCCGAGGCTGAAGGATCACTTGAGGCCAGGAGTTCAAGACCAGCCTTGCAAACAAGGAGTAAAACCCCATCTCTACTAAAAATACAAAAAATTAGCCAGGTGTGGTGGTGCATGCTTGTAATCCCAGCTATTCTGGATGCTGCAGAGGCTAAGGCACCATAATCACTTAAACCCGGAGGCAGAGATTGCAGTGAGCCAAGATTACACCCCTGTACTCCAGCCTGGGTGACAGGGTCAGACTCTGTCTCAAAAAAAAAAAAAAAGAGAGAGTTTACTCATGCATGCTCTCTCTCTCTCTCTATTGCCCACTGCTCCTCCCTCATACTCTCTCTTGCCCCCTACTCCTCCCTCACACTTTGCCCCTCTCTCCATGAGCATGTGCTAAGAAAAGGCTATGTGCAGACATAGTGTCTGCACACAAAAGGTAGCAAGCCAGGAAGAGACCCCTCACCAGAAACCAACTCTGCCAAACCTTGATCTGAGGTTTCTATCCCCCAGAATTATACAAAATAAATTTCTGTTGTTTAAGCTACCTAATCTGTATTTTGTTACAGCAGCCTGAGCTATGAATACCGTTAGTAAATGTGAAAGGAATATGCTGGGTAGGCTTCGCACACTTCTGTCCTTCCTTCTGGATCTAGGTGCCCACAGAAGCTGATATTTGCCGGGGGGAGATCATCCCTCCAGTGGGGAGGCAGTTGAACATTTCCTGTGATTGATAGGTTAAGTCCACCTCATTCTTCAGCTCCATCAGCAGCCCACTTGTCTTTCACACATACCCACATCCGCTGACTTTGTCACTGTTAGTATAAAAGGTGATATTTTGGCCTCTATCTGACTTGCTCTTCATTTTCTTTCCCAATTTTGTTACTACCGGGCTGGTCAAGAAGAACTGCTATCTGGTGAGCCCACTCTAGACGCCATGTACACATGGATTACAATACAAACCAAAATCGATTACATTAGAAAATGTTAAAAATCATCTAGAATATAATACTCTTGAAATTCAGAAAGCCTCTGGGTCATGATTTTCTTTATAATTATATTAGGATTAAGCTTAATCTCTGTTGGCCTTCTAAAACCAAATAAGTTTATTTTAATGCCATATGGAATATTATTGTCATTTATCTTTGTAATAAATTTCAAATATAGAATCTTCCTCTAAAAGTGAATTAAAATTAAATGGAAAATTTTTAAATTAAATTGAAATGACTACAGTAAAAACAAATCAAATTCAGGAGCAATTACAATGAACTTTCCATACTCTTGCTTTGAAAAACTCATCCCATTGTGCTAAAATATAACCACAGTCAAAAGCCTGCATCTTCATGCACAGAAACTTAAGTATTGTTCTGAGTAGCATTGATGAGTACACTTTTTTTTCTTTTTGAGATGGAGTTTCGCTCTGTTGCCCAGGCTGGAGTACAGTGCTGCAATCTCAGCTCACTGCAACCTCTACCTACCAGGTGCAAGCAATTCTTCTGCCTCAGCCTCCTGAGTAGCTCAGATTACAGGTGCACACCACCATGCCTGGCTAGTTTTGTATTTTTAGTAGAGACAGATTTTCACCATGTTGGTCAGGCTGGTCTTGAACTCCTGACTTTGGGATCTGCCTGCCTCAGCCTCCCAAAATGCTGGGATTACAGGCACAAGCCACCACTCCTGGCCAATGAGCACACTTTTTAAAAGAGTCATTTAGAGAAAGATTTCCTTTCCAGATTTTTTAGAATTTTTATTTTCTCTTGGAGGCTACTCAATAACTTAAATTAATATTAATCTCAGAATGCATGTCTGCCATGACTACTTGCTTTCATAATTATACACAAAATAGGTTTAGAGTAACCTTGCTAAAGTCTCTTTTATTTTCTTTAGTAAAAGGTGAAAGGTTTATTCATTATAAAGAGAAACCAGAACACAAGAAAGGAGATTTTTTTTTTTTTTTTTTTTTTGAGATAGAGTCTCAGTCTGTTGCCCAGGCTGGAGTGCAGTGGTGAGATCTTGGCTCACTGCAACCTCCACCTCCCAGGTTTGAGCAATTCTCCTGCCTCAGCCTCCCGAGTAGCTGGGATTACAGGTGGCTAATTTTTGTATTTTGAGTAGAGATGGGGTTTCACCACGTTGGCCAGGCTGGTCTTGAACTCTTGAACTTGTGATACACCTGCCTTGGCCTCCCAGGCCTCCCAAAGTGCTGGGATTACAGGTGTCAGCTGCCATACCTGGTCTAGATGTCTTTTCGTAAAAGGAGGAAAGGAGAAAATAATTTGGGCAGTATTGAAGTAAAGTGAAAAGAATACTGGACTGAGACACCTTGTCATTAACTCAAGTTCTGCACAGTTAAGTAGCTGCATAATTTTAGATTTAACTCCTGTAGGTCTTATTTTCCCTACCAGGAAATGAGGGCTAGCCTAAGTCAACTAATATGTCACTCTACCTATGAAATGTATTACACTGCCTGGTATATAGGAATGGGCATGCAGATTTTTATTAACACCACATTTAAAAACTAAATGTGATGAAGCTTTTCAAATTCCAGGCTTCTGAAGACAGTGGGGACAAGTTAGATTTAACAGCCTCTTTCTCCTATTTTCTATAAGCTTCCATTCTTTTTTCGTTCTTCATAGGGTGACATTGTGTCTAATGAAACTAAATTCTCAATCTGTACACCCCTATTACAAAGATAAACATAATAAGACATAACTGAAATTTTAATAAAATTTATAAGAAATTATTTACCTTCATCAACAGAATCTGAAGTGCTGATTTTGTCCAGAGAAAGATACTCATTTTTACTCAAGTCCAGTGATTTTGATGGCACTAGAGTTAACTTCTTTTCCAAAGTTGGTAAGACATTCTTTTTGGACTGCTTCTCATTTTGGGACTCGTCTTCACCTAATCCCTAAAAGACAAACAATCCGGTTTCAAAATAAGAAATAGATTTTAAGCTTAGATTTTACAGTGAGAACTTTAATATTAAAGATACACTGAAATATTGCTCTTTGAAAGATGTTTACAGCGTTTTGTTTGTTACGCTTGTATCATTGCCAAAGCTATTAAATGCCAGTCCATAAAATATTAGTAAATAACATATACCATTCTAGAATCATTCTATACAATAGTAAACAGCGAGTTTATGAAAAACATCATATAAAAAGGGCTTCACAGATCCCATAAATCACTTATGCAGAAGGGAAAGAGACAAAAGACAAAAATAATAGAACAATTAGTTCTTCAGATTAGGCAAGGGAGAAGAACCAAACCCAGTTAGCTTCTCCAACCAATGCCTGCTCCATCATCTCAAGGAAGGAAACTCACCCATCTCTCAAGACCTAACAGGGAAATGGAAAGAAAATGGAGAGATAAAAGTCACATGTGACTACAGTGGGAGAGAGAAGATTAAAACAAATTAATTTCATAGCAAACTCATAAAAACACAATTGGCTTTGCTGCAAAGGGACTAAGAGATTAGGCATTAAAATGTATTCACTTGGATGATGCTATCTATACTTTCTGGGATGGTTTAATAAAGTTGATGTTATCTCCACAATATATTTAATGGTAGGCATTAAAGTACAATGCTATTGTTATGTTAGTATTCAAGTATAGTACAGAATTATGATAAGACTTGGTGGAACAGTCCAAAAAGTCTATATAAACTATACAGCAGAATACTTTCTTGCATTTTCTGTATGTACACAGATGAAAGAGAGCACTTTACTTCATGTCCCATGAGATCCTTGAGAAGCACTAAATAGCAGAATCAGCTCCAGGGAGGATACAGGTTTCCATTGGCCACCCAGATAGCAGAATAACAACTGGGGTCCAGGACCCAATTTATTAAAAGATTATATCACCCTAATCAGAAGACTGATTCTTCAAGCAGAGATTACTGCTAAAATCAAAACTTGGTTTATTTGAGAGTTCCACACTACAAAGCACATGCCTATTTAGCTAAACCTGGACCCCTTTACAGATGCTAAGTAGAGTATGGTCCTCTACAGCTCTACACTTATGCTTCTCCTCTTGTTGCTAAATTCTATTTCCTGCTATAAAGAATACAAATAGATATTTATAGGAAAATTAAGAGTCACTATCTTCTAGTGGTTTGCATCTGGATGACTTTTATTTCTTTGTATAACCTACCCTATTTCATAAAGTTTTACAAAGTGTATTAATTTTACCACTTAAGAAACATATTTTCATCTTGGAAAAAAGTTATTATTGTCTTTCTATTATTTCCAACTTTGTTAGAAGTGAAAATGAGGCAAAGCAAGTGACATATGATACTTGTAGTTATCTGAGAATTTCATCATGTGGCTCTTGAATGCAAACAGAAGAAAAGGCTTAAACTTCTATATTACTTATATTCCAAAACCTGAAAACATCTGTACTGAACACAGATGAATGTATGATCGATCTTAAAACATTAAGTTATTCACCTCCCTTGTACCAGTAGTAAGTCACTAAGGGTCCCTAGATGAGTAAGTTTTGCAAGAAACCCGTAATAGAAAACCATGCTGAGGTAGGTGCATGACTGCTAAAAACAAGTTGATAACATGCTGGCCTTTCACATAAATACCTTTTCAATGTTTTCCCAACATGTACTCAGAGGAGATAGTGGGAGTTTCTTGGGGGAGGGTAGAAAAGGATCATTACTGGTCACATGCAGACTCACCTTCAGTTATAACAGCCTACAGTTATTGGATAATGTGTGCTAGGAACTATTCTAAGTATAGTCATGCATTACTTTAATGACAGGGATACATTCTGAGAAATGTATCATTAGGTGATTTTATTGTTGTGTCAGTACTTAACAAATTTAGATGGTATAGCTTGTTATACACCTAGGTTATATGGTATAGCTTATTGCTCCTGGTCTATAAACCTGGACAGCATGTTACTCTACTGAATATTGTAGGCAATGTAACAGGGTGGGAAGTACTTGTGTATCTAAGCATATCTAAACAGAAAAAGTACAAATGGTATAAAATATTTAGAAAATTTACACCTGTCTGCTATGAATAGAGCTTAGATGATTGAATTCTGTTGTTCTGGGTGAGTCAGTGAATGAGTGGTGAGTAAATTTGAAGATCTAGGACATTACTGAACACTACTACAGACTTTATAAACATTGTACACTTAGGCCAGGTGTGGTGGCTCACTCCTGTATTTCCAGCACCTTGGGAGGCAGAGGCGGACAGATCACAAGGTCAGGAATTCGGGGTGAGCCTGACCAACATGGTGAAACCCCATCTCTACTAAAAAATACAAAAATTAACCAGTTGTGGTGGCATGTGCCTGTAATCCCAGCTACTTGGGAGGCTGAGGCAGGAGAATCGCTTGAACCCAGGAGGCGGAAGTTGCAGTGAGCCGAGATCATGCCACTCCACTCCAACCTGGGCGATAGAGCGAGACTTCATCTTAAAAAACAAACAAACAAACAAACAAAATTGTACCCTTAGGCTACAATAGATTAACAAAAAATTTTTTTCAACAATAAATTAAGCTTAGCTTACTGTAACATTTTTATTTTATGAACTTTTAAATTTTTTAAAACCTTTTGACTTATAAAAACACAGGTTAAATCACATTGGACACTTATATAAAAATATTTTCTTTCTTTATGTACTTATCCTAAACGCTTTTCTCTATCTTTAATTTTTTATCTTATTTTTTATTTTTAAACTTTTTTGTTAAAAATTAAGACAAAAACATATACATTAGCTTAGGCCTACAAAGGTTCAGGATCATGAATATCACTGTCTTCCACCTACACATTTTGTACAGACGAGAAGGCCTGCAGGGAGAATAACATGCATGGAGCTGTCATCTCCTATGATAACAATGTTTTCTTCTGGAATTCTGCCTGAAAGACCTGCCTAAGGCTGTTTCAAAGTTAACTTTTATATACATATATATATAAGTAGAAAGAGTATACTCTAAAATAATGATTTATTATTTTATTATCAAGTATTATGTACTTGTATAATTGTATGTGCTATATCTTCATGGGCCTAGCAGCACAGGTTTGTTTACATCACCATCACCACAAACAGGTGAGCAATGCATTACCATGTTATGACAGTACCTCAGTAGGCAAAGGAATTTTACAGCTTCCCTTAAAATGTTATGGGACTGGCCAGGCGTGGTGGCTCATGCTTGTAATCCCAGCACTTTCAGAGCCTAAAGCAGGTAGATCACCTGAGGACAGAAATTTGAGACTAGCCTGGCCAACATGATGAAATCCCATCTCTACTAAAAATATAAAAAATTAGCCAGGCATAGTGATGGACAGCTGTAATCCAAGCTTCTCAGGAGGCTGAGGTTGCAGTAAGCCAAGACTGCACCACTGCACTCCTGTCTGGGCAACAAGAGCGAAACTCCACTTCAAAAAAAAAAAAAATGTTTTGGACCACCAAAACATGGTCCAGCGATGCAGTTCATCATTGACCAAAGCATAATTATGCAGAACATGGCTGTACTTTCATATATACTAACTCATTTAATTCTCAATAAAAAGAAAAACCTTATAAAGTATAATCCTCACTTTACAGTTGAGGAAAGAAAAACTACGGTTAAGTAATTACACAGTTAGCAAGTGGCAGAAGTAGGATTTGAAGCCAAAGTCCAGCTCAAAACAAAAAATTCAGCTCTGCCCAGAAACTTGGATCCCCAGTCAACAGAACAAAAGCTCTGCAGTAGGAGCACTCCTAGCACACAGAATATGGTCTCTAAATACCATTCTTCACTAAGAAAATCTATGGCTTATTAGGAAAATGGCTGATGCCATTTTGGGGGCAGAAAACTTACAAAATGTGCTTAGAACTTATTGTTGTGCCGGAAAGAGAGGACATCATCAAAGATACCGGTCATTTCAAAAAGCCAAAGGAACCAACCTGAAGGGGGTCCCATCAAATAATGACTCCAAGTGATTGAAGCTCATTGGAATAAAAAACTGATGTGCTTACAATGATACCTGAGAAAATAAAGGAAGAAACTAAGTAACTGAGTATAATGCCTAGTAGTTAACTGGACCTGCCTGCTTAAAAAGCAGCTTATTACTCAAGCCTGCTACTCAGGGGCTCATTTCTCCCTTCAAAACAGCTTCTTTCTCCATGATGTTCCCTTCTGTGAAAGAAATAAAAAATAAATAAATAAAAATTGAAAAAAACAGATTCTTTCCAGCACATACAGTACTTACCCTGGGGAAAATTTTGCTACTTACAAATTTTTCCATCTTATTATTCTTTTAATGATATTTATCCCCCTATAGACTGATGCCCAGGTAAAACTGCTTGGCAGCTCTGCTTTTTATATAGCTCTAAACAAAACTACGTATTTTTCCCACATAACCTCTGCTACTTAACAGACTTCAAAATTTTTTCCTAAAATAAGGTAGGAGCCTGATATCTTAAGTTATTTTTAACACTTTGTATATTGTTTTTTTAATCTTATATTCTGATTAAGATATGACAGTATCCGATATATTTAAAAAGGGATATCATATACTAACTCCTTTTGATGAATTTCCATCGAATGACTCTGTTTCTGAAACTCGACTCATTGATTCATTGGTAAAACTGATTGACTTGGATAATTTTTCATCTCTCTCCCCAGAGTCATCCAAGCTGCTTCTTCCTGGACTTCTGTAAGAAACACATCAGTATAGAAATATAAGGTCACCTCCACACAAATAAAAGATTTGCTCTCCTCATTGAGGTCATTTCCTATGATAAAAACAGTTTCATAATAAGTGGACTACTATAATGTAACAAATTAATGTCTACTTATAATAAAGCTATCTTCTTAAATTACATGCAAGTTGACATCATTTCTGAAAACAAGATACACTCACATGAGATTCTATAAATTTCAAAAACATTACAAAATTAACAAAGTACAAATGGCCATAACAGCAACTAATCCAATGAAAATTGCTTGCTTAAATTTCATTTGACTGCAATCATAAAGCTTGGACAGGTACAGAGTACATGTTTGGGTTAGATACTAGACTGCACAAGAAGGCAGTTTTAGATATCCTTCTTTCTGACTCAGCCCCAGCTCAAATGGCAAAGTCCTCCCAGAAGTAGATGCTCAAGATGTCTGAGCCTAAACCCATTGGCCAGTCCTGCCTCCTCACTCTTCCCAGCCTAAAGAACAAAGTTTAAGACATAGCTGTCAAATGATCAAGACTATAATAAATGTCCTGGGATCTGCTTTCCCTTTCTCAAGGAGTAAAAGGAAACGAAAACCTATTAAATACAAAGAGAGCACAACTGATCTAATTTCCAGTGCTCAGCAGGATGGAGGTGAGATGTGGAAAAATAGAGAGCAAAGGAGAAGGAAGAAGGAAGGAGAGATTGCAAATAAAGAGGAAGAAGATGGAAGAACTGAGAAAATGAAGGTTTGAAACAAATATGCTTCTTTCAGTCTGAAAAATAGGAAAAGAAGTAGAAGAGAGAATAAGGACCCTGCCACACACTTTCTTAGAAAGCATTCAGGCCGGGCACAGTGGCTCATGCCTGTAATCCCAGCACTTTGGGAGGCTGAGGTGGGCAGATCACTTAAGGTCAGGAGGTCAAGACCAGCCTGGCCAACATGGTGAAACCCTGTCACTACTAAAAATACAAAAAGTAGCCGGGAGTGGTGGGAGGCTCCTATAATCCCAGCTACTCAGGAAGCTGAGGCAGGAGAATCACTTGAACCCGGGAGGTGGAGATTTCAGTGAGCCAGGATCACCAAGATCATGCCACCACAGTCTAGCCTGGACAAGAGTGAGACTCCATCTCAAAAAAAAAAAGGAAAGAATAAAGCATTCAATCACCAGAAGAATACAGCAGCTAGTCAAAAACATTCTTTCTTTCCTCAAAGACAAGAAACTTTTCAAGTTGGCAAGGACCTTAAAAATAATCTAGTTCAGCTGCCTCATTTCATAGACAAGCAAACTGAGAATCAGAAGAATGAAAAGATTTGCCTGAGGTTGCTTGGCCGTTCGGTGGCCCTAACTAAGATCTAGATCTTGTTTCTCACAATCCAAGGCTCCTTGCATCAGAGTAATTGCTTTTCTATCCAAATCCAGAGCCGGCAAGAGGCTACTAAACTTTGCAAGGAGAACAATACAATGGAAATTTTTAACTTTACAGAAAGCTAATAAAATACACATGTGCAACCGTGTAAAAAAAAAGGCTATAAAATATTGATGCTAAGCTGAAAAGATATAAATTGAATCAGCATAAGAAGATTACCTAGATGAGTAAAATTTCTGCACATACATTGAGACTTTCAAAATATTTCCATTTTAAGACTTGCTATAGAATTTCTAAATAACAGCTTTTAAGATATAATTCACATACCACAAAATTCATGTAATTTAAAGTGTACAATTCAGTGGGTTATAGAGTTGGGCAACCATCACCACTAGCTAATTGTAGAACATTCTCATCACCCCAACAAAGAAATGCTGTCCCTTACTTGCAGTCACTCCCCATTCTCTCTTCCTCTTAGCTCCTAGCAATTACCATCTACTTTCTGTCTCTGTAAATTTACCAATTCTAGACTCCATTTCACATACATAGAATCATATAATATATGGTCTTTTGTGACTGGCTTTTTTCACTCAGCATGTTTGTTATTGAATTTTAATGTATTCTCCTTAATTGTTTGTGCTGCTAACAGCTTTAATTTCCATTGGACATAATGCACTTTTACTTGTACAGGTTCATCCACTCTTCTCAATGAATCCTCATCGGTCAAAAATAATCTCTCTGTACTCTCGGTTTCTTTATCACATTATCTGTTACTCTGTTATGGCTCTTACCATTATCTTGTATTACCTTGTATTACAATTATTTGCATTCCCTAGTAGGCTATATGCTCCTTCCATTAATGTTTTCAATATTTATTGAGTGCCAACCACATGCTAAGCACTACGTTAGGGAATTCTTGAGAAAAAGTCATATGATTGTATCCTTCGAAACACCTACCATCTAATTTACTTTCCTGTCACCTATAAACTAAGAGATTTCACTAGGTACTTCTCCAGATCCTTAATTAAAAGGCTTACTAAAACCAGACTTGAAGTAAACCCTGAGTGACATAGTTAACATTCCCTTATATACCTCACATGTGCTTACCTATCTAGCAAACTATTCTCTGTCCCCACCTTTCTCCCCATTCCACCACAGAGAACAAAGAGAAAAACTGCACCCAAGGATAAATTAATAGAAATTCAGAATTAGTCAAATCTAAAATAATTCTGCTTTTATTAATAATTGATAAACTTTGACATTTCAAAACATTTTGCTCTACCTTGGCTGCACATCCTCAGTTGACGGTGACAAGTTTTCCATCTCCTCAGCATTTAAGCCTAGCTCAGTGCCATAGTTTTGCTGGAGCAGTTGCCAGAATTCCTGTCTAGTCAGGCTCTAAAATGACAGAAAAATTACACTGGGTATTGGAAAATATAATATTACAGTGATTCAAAACATGAATTTTGAAGACAAAATGACCCATTGTGTAAAGACTCGACATGTGGCTTTGGTAGTTATTTGACCTTTCTGTACCTCCATTTTCTGTACCTATATAAAAATGGGTTAATAAAGTCTATCTGACAGAGTTCATAAAAGGAATAGATAAAATGTTTTTTAAGTATATATTATGATAACTACTGTAAATGAAAGGTTAAAATGCTTTAAATTTTCTTTTTGTAAAATAGTTTCTTCATGCCTTCTGGTAATTATTGATCTGCAGTTTCTGCCGTTTGTTTGCTTGTTTGTTTTTGAGACAGAGTCCCACTGTGTTACCCAGGCTGGAGTGCAGTGGCATGATCTCAGCTCACTGCAACCTTTGCCTCCCAGATTCAAGTAATTTTCCTACGTCAGCTTCTAGAGTGGCTGGGATTACAGGTGTGCACCACCACACCCGGCTAATTTTTGTATTTTTAGTAGAGATGGGTTTCATCATGTTGGCCAGGCTGGTTTAGGACTCCTGACCTCAAACGATCCACCCTCCTCGGCCTTCCAAAATGCTGGTATTACAGGTGTGAGCCACAGCACCCAGCCTCGGACCTTCAGTCTAGCTCTGCAAGCTAACCAGTCTACCATGACCACCGAATCACCATTCAGTTCTGTCAGCTCAGAACCTGTCCTCTTAATCCATAATGTACTTGAATATTTTAACTACTTAAAAAATTTTTTTTTTTTTTAGACAGAATCTCCCTTTGTTGCCCAGGCTAGAGTACAGTGGCAAAATCTTGGTGCAATCTCAACTCACTGCAACCTCCGCCTCCCAGGTTCAAGCAATTATCCTACCTCAGCCTCCTGAGTAGCTAGGATTACAGATTTGCACCAACACATCCAGCTAATTTTTGTATTTTTAGTAGAGATGGGGTTTCACCATGTTGGCCAGGTTGGCCTTGAACTCCTGACCTTAAGTGATCCACCCTCTTCAGCCTCCCAGAGTGCTGGGATTATAGGCATGAGCCACTGCACCCAGCCTAGAAATCTTATATATCAATAAATTTCAAATTATATTTTCCTGATATATAAAAGGCAAGAGTCTGGACTTCAGAATATTTCCTTTGATTTATCTTTATTAAAGTCCAGATTGTTCTTTCTTTGTAGGCAGCATAGCCATTTTGAAATCATCAAATACAACAAACTCATGCGTTACCTAGCAAAACAAAAACATTATTATTAAAATTTAGAATAATGGCTTCCAGTTGAAAAATAAAATTAAATAATATTATGATAACCAATGGTCTGATGTCTAAAAACATTACAGATAATTAAATGCTTAAGCAAGGTAGAAGGAAGCAGCATAACACTAGAAGCAATTATTAGTAAGATTATCTCTCTCATTTATTCAAGAGATATTTATTTAATACCCAACGAGTGTGCACTACTGAACTAGATGCTAAGGAGAATAAACATAATGCAGAAGTTAAGTTCCTGGCCCTCAAACACTTATAATATAGTTGAAGAGACACGAGATGTTCTTAAGTTATATGACAAGATATAATATGATTATGTACTTAAGTGCTGGTAGAATCAACATAATATGAAAGTCTAAAGGAAGGAAATATGACTGTGGATTAGTATGATCAGATAAAGCTTCACACTGGAAAAGTGTTTTCAGTTGAGCTAAAGGAATAATGTGAATGGGGGAAAGGAGAAATGGGAAATGTTAAAGACATGGAAACCAACTAAAAATACAGAATAAATACATGAACATAAGTAACATTTGTTTTGAAGTCAGTAGTGTATCAGCCTAACTGAAGTAAAAATTTTAAATTGAGAAAACAGTAGAGAAAAATATAGATTTGGTAGGGCCAAAACACAGATGCCTTGACTTCCTCCCCAATATTCCCTGTAACAAATACCACTTCATTTTTCTTCTTCCTTCTTTCTTCTCTGTCTAGTAACTACTGTATCTTTGTTTGTTATACTAGATGACCTTCATTACATTTTATGGACCTTCAAAGGAATTAAGAAGAAAATGTCTGCACTTGTATACCACTAGTTCCCAATCTGCTGTGCCCAGATGACAAGGATTCCACCAGAGCAGGTGATAAAAATTCAGATATTATCAGATATTATTTCAAAAAAATAAAAAATATCTACATAGTTATCTAAAATAAAGCCATTCAAGCTAAGTAGAATGGCAAGCCTCTGTTTTGAGCTGAACTATATTAAACTAGAATGGATACCTCAGACTGATAAACTCTCACTGGAAATAATATATATCTAACAAATAGTGGTTTTAATATTTATTATTTAATGCATACCCCTTATTTGGTAGACAAAGTCTTTGGAAGCACAGTGTCCACAGAAGAAACATAAAAAGGCCCATTAGTGGTAGAGAAAATTAAGAAACCACTGTCCTTGATATTAAAGGAATACACACATTTATTTTCTGACTTCCACTCCAAATGAGTCATTTGTGAACTTTTTTCACAATAATTCATACTACTAATTAACTCATTCTTTCAAAAAAATTATCTTTGAAATATTTTAGTGTCATACTAGGATGGTTAACTTTATAATAAGAAGCAAGCAATATTTCAGTATACTTGTGTCATATTAATCAGTTATAAAAACTTAAATACTAGATATCAAACTATTCCAAAGACAGACTAAAACGAAAAGATAAACCGGTGATGAATATTCAGGCAGCTTCCTAACAGCAAAAGAAATGAAATTTATTAGTAAAATACTAACAACAAAAGTGTAATTTTATTTGACTACATAAATAAATGTTTTAAATATTTTATTAAATACTAGCAGGAAGTTAATAGCATGGTAATTTCAATATACTTTTCAAGCTAGTAATTAAATATATATAACAGGTTAATGGAAAACAAAATAGAACTCATTTAATTCACTGTCTTATAGATTTACCAATTTGTTAAAAATGACATTTTCTACCAAATTGTCAGTTATAAAAATGTGGTTATTTACAGCCACGCTGAACGTTCAAACATTCAAACATATGCCCAGCCTGATATTCATAATTCTTTCAATAATCAGCAGCAAAAACAATCTACCTTAGTAGCCTTCAAAAACAACCTAAATTTTAAACGCAAGGTGACCACCCACCTGCAAAGAAGAGTCTCTCCCTTTCAGCCTACGGACTAGTTTAACAAAAAAAAGATGAACCGAGCAGTAATCAGATAAGGCTCAAAAGTCAGAAGATCAGTTTCTGTCCCAGAAAGCTGTGTATTCTAAGTATGTTGCAGTCTCTATCCATGCAGAGCTCCAAACATTTAATGACAACTATGTAAAAATAATCACTGTTTCAATCTCTAAATTTTGCTATGAGAAGCTTTTCTAATGTAGTTTAAAGCAATTATCTGTCACTTCCTGGTTGTAGTACCAGCACTCTATCCAAGGTTGCAGGTCAGAATGCAGAACTGGAAGGTACACCTCACTCTACAGGTTCCTAAGCCACTCCCACAAGAAGAAGATAGGTAAACAGGGTTTTATTAAAGGGACAGTTCCCAATTTTCTCTGTTCTATGCACAGAGTAGAAAAAACAAAATGAAAATAAAAATACCTTGCTTATACTAAATTGATGTAAAACACCTATTGCAATATTATTTTAATCTTATATTTAAAATTAACTATATTATGAGTTAAATTTTCTTCTCCATGCTAGTAATTTCTGTGCAATTCTGGGAATGTCATGATGACTTCTTCATATACCGTCCCTCCAGTACTGATGTAGTATTCCTATCAGACTCTTGCAATAACCCTCTACAACAACCAAAGATTCTATCTCTGCATGCTGTAAATGTAACGTAAGGAAATAGCAGGAAGAGCCAGCTGTTCAGGTGGAACAATTCTACTAAACACCTGGTACATCTTTCATCACTGAAAGGCTTACGGCAACATTTTGATTACTCGATAATTATTTTCTTTGAAAATATTTCTGACTTTAGTTTATTTAGAATAATTCCCTGGTAGTGATCTGGACTATAATAAAATGTATAGTTTCACCCGCTAATTCTGATTTATTTCTCTGAAGAAAATTTTTCTTCTAAGTAAAGAATCAACATTTACCCTAATTTCTACCTAGCCATTCCATTTAATTTAGTAAAGCGTGTAAACGGATCGAAGGCTACTTGAAGAACTCCGCGGATCAACCTTTTGAGGGATGCTAAAATCTAATCATTTTATACAATGGCAAAACGAGAGAGATTGAAGAGTGATGCTGAAAAATACCACTCATTCAAATGAAGACAGCACACTATGGGGGCAGCTTCCACTGTCTAAAAGGCAGTGCTATTAGCTTATTGTGGTAGTTCTCATTGACTAAAATGATAGACAAATATCTTTATGATGGTGAATAAATAGCTATGAGAAAAATATACATTAATTGTACCACATTGATATTTATACACATTTTTGCTAAATATAAAAATCCTTATACCAAACCACTGCCGTATAGAGCAGAGCTAAACTGAGTAGACTTAAGAGGGAAAACAGAACCTAGAGCTGAGCCCCAAGAAAGCCCAACATGCAGAGAGAAAATACAGGAGTGCCCAGCAAAAAAAGACTGAGGGGAATACTAGAAAGGTAAGAGAAGATTCCAGAAAGAATGATGCCATGAAAAGCAAGGGAAGAAATTATTTCAAAATGGAAGGAGTATACAATGGTATCGAATGCTGCCAAAAGGTCAAGTAGGATGAGCACATCATGAGCACATGTATGTCAAATGTGAGCATCCAGAGGAATGAAGCAGCTTGCCAAACCAGTTCCCCATGACCTCAGTGTGCGTGTGTCGTGGGAGTGAGGCAGATAGAAAAGACACAGTGGGGAAGGAGGAAGCAGCCAGGTCATGAAGAGCCTTGTACACCATGCCAACGAATATAGATTTTACAAAATATCAAACGCCACCCCGTGGTTTTATATAGAAAAGTAACAAG